AGTGGTTCACACCTGTAATCTCAGCACTTTGGGAGGACAAGGCAGGCAAATTACTTGAGGTCAGGAGTTCGAGACCAGCCTGGCTAACATGGTGAAACCCTGTCTCTCCTAAAAATACAAAAGTTAGTCAGGTGTGGTGGCACACGCCTGTAATCACAGCTACTTGGGAGGCTGAGGCACAAGAATCACTTGAACCCACGAGGCAAAGGTTGCAGTGAGCAGAGATGGTGCCACTACACTCCAGCCTGGGCAACAGAGCGAGACTGTCTCAAAAAAAAAAAAAAAGAAAAATGAGAAAAAACTGCCCTATCCTGATATGTTCTGAAGTATGTCATTCTCAGCAGAACTAACTCATAAATGTTGAGAAAACTGAGGGGAAAGGAGGGAGAGAAGGGATCTTAAAAACTAAAACATAAAGGAATAAAGACCTTGATCATCATTAAAGTTAGTTCTCTAGTGCCTGAAAAAGCCTTTCTTTTACTCCCTGACAGTTGTCAGCAAAATCAGCTTTGAACTTGAGGTCTCTAGGCAGCCTGCCTTTTTCTCTTGTGCTTGTTGGGAGCAATATAACAAAATATGATGACCATAAAGCTATGTAAAGAGCTGAGGGTGATCCAGGTCAGATCTCTGATTTGCACTACGAAGCCTAAAGTAGAACACAATAATTACCTGGCACTGGCAAACTAAGATCATTGTTCTTAAAATCAGTATTACACATGAAAAGGAAAGATCCCACAAGTACTACCACTCAAGGAAAACAGTGATGTTTTAGGTTTATACAAATGAGTAGAGGGCTGCTGATTTTTTTTTTTTTAACACATAAAAAGGGAAAATAATCAATGGTAGGTTTTTAATAGGAACAAGAGGCTGACTTTACCTTATATATGACTGCAATACAGCAAGGAGTTCTGCAACAGGAAACTCCAGAACTATGTCGCACATGCTAAGCAAATGAAAAAATTATATTAAGTAACTAATCAGGCCAGGGAAGCAATGTCCAAAGAATGTCACAGCTATAAATGAGAGAATAATGACCAGAATATAAGAATATAGAGTGACTGAATGAATTACAAAAACCAGCTGTTATTTTAAAATAGTCTAATGTGTATATACAACAAATAGAATATATATGAAAATTTAAAAAACAAGGCAAGAAATTTTTTTTAATTTTGGTCCCATCTAGTCTTACACTGTAAAAATGTAGTACCTTGTGAAATATAACGATCCATCAGTAAAAATTTAAAAAATGATTCACTGTGAACTAGAGATTTAGAATTCAAATTGTCCAAGATGAAAATGTCATCTCAAGATCCACTTAAGAATAATTGTTAAAGTTTTTGGAATTTTCATCCTAAGAGGTAAAATCTGTTGCAAAGCTGAATTTATAAGGTTGGGGGGACTGTCCATTAAGAATATTTCTTCTTTACACAGAGACTAATGGCTTCTTAAATGGTCCAAAGCATAGGCACCTGAATTCTGAAACATTGTCCATCACAAATCTCCAGCATTCTCCAGAGGAAACACACAAGGCAACTTTTAGCTTCTTTGACTACAAATGCCGAAATTTTTTTTCAGGCTAGTAGATTTAATGTTTCATCTCACATTTTAGCCCTGCTACAAGAAAATATCTTTTGTTTCAATACAAACCAGTGATTTTCAAGCCTGACTGGTAATCAAAATCACCTTTTAAAAATTATAAATTGCCGGCCGGGTGCGCTGGCTCACACCTGTAATCCAGCACTTTGGGAGGTCGAGGCGGGTGGATCACGAGGTCAGGAGATCAAGAGCATCCTGGCTAACACGGTGAAACACCGTTTCTACTAAAACATACAAAAAAATTAGCTAGGCGTGGTGGCAGGCACCTGTAGTCCCAGCAGGAGAATGGTGTGAACCTGGGAGGCGGCGCTTGCAGTGAGCCAAGATAGCGCCACTGCACTCCAGCCTGGGCAACAGAGCGAGACTCCGTCTCAAAAAAAAAAAAAAAAAAAAAAAAATCGATTGCCAGCCCACCAGCCAAAAGTCAATCTCTTAGATGGGTCCAAGTGATTTTTACTTAAGTCATATTAAAGACCACTGACTTAAATTGTCTCCCTGTGTCCTCAAGGAATGTGCATTTAGATAAGTTATTTGGGATGGTGAAATAAAAGTGATCTTCATGTAAACAAACAGAGAGCAAATGTAAATGGTACAAAGGCAGAAAATGGGGACCTGCTATTTTTCTTTAACAGAAGGGCTAAAAATTTAACATATCAGATAGATATTCAAATGAAAATACAAATTCAAAATAAAATGAACTTTTTTGGATTATTGGTTATTTTAGATTATCAATAACACCATTCCATTAGTCCACAATATAGAAAGACTAAAGTTGAAAATAATATTCCACCAGTTCTCGTTTCCAGATGATCCTATATTACAGAATACAATAAGGAAAAGATATATTCAAAATGAGTAAGAACTACCAACCCTGTTTACATTGTGGGCATTGAATCAATCACCAACTGAAGCTGATAATTTTCTTTCAGATCAAGTTTTCCCAAATCTAAAGGAAATTTCATTATATAATACAGTTATACCATCTGTAAGCTATGATTTTCCAAAAAGAATCAGAAAAAAAGTTAAAAACAACCAACAAAGGCACTGAACTGCTATGACTTGCTTTTTTGTTGACACCAACCTTTTTCTGTAAACTAGTGAAAGGTCACATCAAAAGATGATATAGAATCCAATCCGAAAACATTGGACCCCAAAAGGCACTGCTCAAACTTTTGATTTGAAATGCTCAAAATGCATTCTCTTCATTTGTCTTCCCCCAATAGAGCATTCAATATTTAATGACATTTGCTGTACATTATACAAAAGGGTCTGTAGGTTGAAGTGAATATAACTCTCCACACAAGCAAAATGTAAATCTGCAAAATGAATGATGATCACATTCACTTGTATGCAGATATAACATAAAACCTAAGGTTCAACAATACTATTACACCAAAGGACTAGACCTTCAGGAAACCCTTCTACCTAAACCCATTCTCAGACAAAGGCTAAAACACATTCTGCAAAGGCAAAAGGAAACAGAAGACAGTATTTCCATTAAAGACTAGTTACAAACAGGAGCAAACCTGGGCTCTTTACTCACCATTTTAATACTGCTGCCAACTATAACAGATTAAAAATGTACACATGACAAAGTGGAAAAAAGTCCCAAAATGCAACAGTTTCAGCAAAAGAACATACTGACTAAGGATTACTACAGTTAACATTGCTACAGTAAAAACGATGGCAAACAGGGATTTGGCACCACATTTACAAAGTAAAAGCATGCACTGTTAATACACTTTAGATGTCTCTCAACAGAAAAGGCCATGAAGATGGAAAACAAGAGGCACCTTGTACAAAACTCCCTATAACTGAGACAAACAAGCAAGAATCAAAGTGGTCAATTTAGTAAATATGTAGCAGCAAAGTCACTGGTTCTGTTTGGAATTTAGCAATTTGCATTTCTGATTGGCAGCTGTCCCGGGCATGTCTGTATCCAAGAAGCTGACTTTATCATACTACATCACAGCAGTAATTTGGTAATCTGCATAAACAAAGTTAACCTTCAACCATAAGCTTAAAGAAAAGAGAGAACTAGAATCTTATTGCAGAACTTTCCAATGTAATTACCATATGGAAACCATAATGGTACTTTGAGCAGGATAATAACATAAATTTCATCAAAAAAGTTGTATGCATAGCCCCAGTAACTGGAAAGAATTATAAGTAATTATGGAAGTATTATATTCTGACCACACCAAGAGTTACAAACAAAGAGTTCCTACTAAAGAGGAATATTTTCAAGATGATCTGGTCACATCATGTGCATAGTTAACATTGTGTTTTAATAAAGATTCTTTTGCAAATAAAGAAATAAAATTTAGTAAAGTTATTCTTCTCTTGATGAAAAAACCCTAAAAATGAACCACTGGTGGTTTGTTAAGAAGGGGGAAAAAAAGAGTAAGCTACATATTGAAGTTCTAGAATGCAGCACCTCAACTTCACATCTTCCATAAGCATTTAAGATTAAGAAATCCAAGTGATGTCTTGATGATCAAATCACACTTTACAGTTCTTCCAATTCCAATGTCTGACTTTAGCATCTCATGTCAATTAAAAGTTCCCTAATATAGAAGATTGTGCTAAAGAGTGCTAAGATTCTGCATGCTGCTGCCATTCCCTGGTCCCGTTCATGCTTGTAGCTGCCCCGTAAGACAGCAAAAGGTGTCTGGTCTCAACACTCCACACTGTAGTAACTAGAAGAGAAGAAGATTCTTAATTAGAAAAACTTTACAAAGCTAACAGACATCACTATAGCACTATAACTACCTTGTATGAAACTTTACCTTTCACTAACATCCATGCTTTTCAATAAAGTCCACATTCCTTTAAGTTGTTTTTAATGATGACATCTGTAACAGCATCAAAAACAAACTGCACATTCTTCGTGTCTGTGGCACAGGTGAAGTGAGTGTAGATCTCCTTGGTATCTTTTCTTCTGTTCAGATCTTCAAACTGGCATTGAATATAGGCAGCTGCCTCTTCATATGTATTGGAACCTAAAACAGACACCCCGTACTCTCAGTTCAAATTGTAACAGCTGCCTGAACTCAACTAAGTCAGACCATTACCATTTACTTATGGAGAGGAAACATAACCCAATTAAATATGAATAGAATTCTCTATTTCTATAATCATTAGATGTTTCTATAATTAGGTTCTTCATGAGAGTAGACTCTCATGGTAACTAAAATAAAATCATCACACACAAAGATTGAAGAAAACATAACGTTGTTTCTCTTTACCCTTTCATTTAGACTTTTCAGCTAAAAAAAATCTAGAAAGTATAAAGGGAAACTAGGAAAGTAGGAAGGTGCATTTCTAGGGAACACAACTGCTTCAAAGGTCTGAGAGAGGCTGTGTTCCTTGGAGTGATCTTGGAATAAAAATTCAACAGGGTAGTGCTCACTTCGGTAGCACATGTACTAAAATTGGAACAATACAGAGAAGATTAGCACGGCCACTGCACCACAAGAATGACACGCAAATTCATGAAGCGTTCCATATTTTTTAAAACAACTGGGTTGGATCATGCTAAAAGGAGATAATATTACTCTGCTACAAAGTGTTTCCAACTAGAAAGGATCAATGAAGTGAGAAATTGTTGAGAAGGATACAGTTTGCTTTTAGATGTCCTTTGTCCAATATGAACATTTATTCATATTGTTTTGATTACCCTTATGTTACTACAAGATGGCAATAAATGCTATGGGATTGTTTGTATTAAAACAAACAAAAAAAGGAATTCAACAGGGTAAATTGTTCTTTTCAAAATCATTCCACAGTTTTAAGGAGGTTTAGCTTCAAAGCCTTAAGGTAATAATTTAAGTAAGGAAAAGCAATACACTTTAAAAGAGTGAATTTTAGGGTTTCTGAATTATATATCAATAAAGCTCTTATTTTTTACAAAAAGAAAGGTGGCAGGAACCAAAAGTAAAAGCTGTCTCAGCAACATTTGTAATTAATACCCTTAAATCACCTGCTTTTTACACCATCTTGTCTACTTATGGAACCTTTAGAGTAGCCTTAGAAACTGGCTATAAAGCCAGGGAAACGCAACAAAGACAATTCATTATTCCAATAAACTAGAGGCTATTTTCAGTAGCATTAAGCATAACAAAAATATCAATAACAAAGATATAAAGAAGACCCGGTAACAAAATGGAGCTTAAGAAAAAAGGAGCTGGGTGGGGTGGCTCACACCTGGGGCTGCGGCAGGTGGATCGCTTGAGGTCAGGAGTTCGAGACCAGCCTGGCCAACAGAGTGAAACCCCATCTCCACTAAAAATCAAAAAATCATTAGCTAGGCCTAGTGGTGGGCACCTGTAGTGGAGCTGAGGCACAAGAAGCACTTGAATCTGGGAGGCGAAGGTTTCAGTGAGCCGAGATCATGCCACTGCATTTCTGTCTGGGAGACAGAGCAAGACACTGTCTCAAAAAAAAAAAAAAAAAAAAAAAAAAAAAGGAAAGGAAAAGAATATTAATTAAAATATTTAAAGAACTGAAGGAAAACAGCTTTGTAGGTGCTTGAAGCAGGTTCTTAAAATCTGGAAAACAACCTCTGTAAATTAGAGGCAGATGAGTGAAAAGTGAATTTTGTCTGCTAGGAACAGATACTGATACCTGGCAAATAAGGACTGTAAGAATCTGTACGTAGAACGAAGACAATGGAGGACAGGCTTGGAAGTTAACAACAACAAAGAAAATGGATACGATATTAAAGGCTCTTTGCTTTGTGTGAAGACTCTAAGCTGGGCCTTCAACATTAATGCCGATTCTTTTACTTGTCTTACATCTCTCTCCCCCAATCCTAAAACTTGGTTGCTTTCTATAAATTCACCTGATTCTCACTTCCCTCTGTTCTTTACTCTGAACAGGTAACCACATTTCCAACTTCCTTAAGAAAACAGAGGCCATGAGGATTAAACTACATCTCAACTTTTTGTCCTACCACCTCACTCAAAATGTTACATATCTGCACTTATTTGTACTTCTGGTCTTAGAGGTGTCTTACTTATTCCTCAAAAATCAATTGCTCTACCTATACTCTTTTAAAAAATTGAGGAAAATTAACATAACAGATATTTAACCATTTTAAAGTGTACAATTCAGTGGCACTTAGTGTATTCACAATGTTATGCAATCACCACCTCTCTCTAGCAACAAAACTTTTTCAATGCCCTATTCCCATTAAGTAATCACTCCCTTTTCTTCCCATTCTCCCAATTCTCATAACCACTAATATGCTTTCTGTCTCTATGGATTTGCCTATTTTGGCTATATCATATAATAGAAGTATCGGCCTCTTTTACTTAGCACAGTGTTTTGAGTTTCATACAAGTTGTACCATCTATTATTATTCCTTTTCTTGAGTAAATAATATTCATTGTATGTATATAACACAATTTGTTTATCCATTTATCTTAATTCCTTTTTTCCCACCTGCTTGCAAATCTTGCTCCTTCAATTACATCTGTTTTTTCAACACCTCTTTTGCTTATAGGATCTTAGCCCTCAACCTATAAACATTCTTAAATTTCTCCCTTTTACCACGTTGCTCAAGAGTAGTCTACACTTGTCTTCTTTCTTCACTTTCCACTCTGTAACTCACTGTACTCACCTTTCCATTGACACTGCTCTCAAGAGCAGGTCACCGACCTCCTAACTGTTAACTCCAAGGCCATTTTTCAGTATTTATCTTACTTATCTGCAGATAACACTGTTGACTGAAATATTTAATCAACTCACTTTTTAAGCTCTCCTTTTGGTTATGATATCTTTCTTTCTCTCCTGCCAATAGAGGCTGCTATTCTCTCTCATTTTATCTGTGGTCCTTTTTCTCCTCATTCTATATTATTCTCTCCATAGGTCATTTCACCCATTTCCATGTTTTCATTACTGATGATCTCAAACTCCAACCTCTCCCCAACCTCAAATATAACTGCCCATGAGATATTATTTCGATGTTCCATAAATAATTTAAAATCAACATTCCTAAATATGAATTCAGGTCATAGCACCAGCATCCAAGACAGAAACCTGGGAGTACCTCTGACTCTTCCCATTTCCTTAACCCTGCTTTACCCCTTCACTTTATTGATTGATTGACGGATGGAGACTCACTCTGTCTCCAGGCTGGAGTGCAGTGGTGCAATCTCAGCTCACTGCAACCCCCGCCCCCTGGGTTCAAGCGATTCTCCCGCCTCAGCCTCCCGAGTAGCTGGGATTACAGGTGCGCGCCACCATGCCCAGCTAATTTTTCTATTTTTAGTAGAGACAGGGTTTCACCACATTATCCAGGATGGTCTCGATCTCTTGACCTCATGATCCACCCACCACGGCCTCCCAAAGTGCTGGGATTACAGGCATGAGCCACCGCACCCGGCCTCACTTTATTATAGAAAGCATTTACAGTGTCTCTGCTAATAAGAGTTCCTATTCTCTGGAAATACCTGACTCTGATCTCCTAGTTTCATAGTGATCCATCCCTGGCAGGTTATATTTCTGCCCCTGACATCAACTGATTGGCCTACAGATTTCTGCCTGACTTAACCATGGCCAGAATCTCTCTCCTTGGAATTGAAACCAAGGCCAAGCAATCCCAGTCTAGTCTTATCTTTTTTTTGTTTTCGTTTTTGTTTTTGAGGTGGTGTCTTGCTCAGTCGCCCAGGCTGGAGTGCAGTGGCGCGATCTCGGCTCACTGCAAGCTCCGCCTCCCAGGTTCACACCATTCTCCTGCCTCAGTCTCCCGAGTAGCTGGGACTACAGGTGCCCGCCACCATGCCCAGCTAATTTTTTTTTTGTGTGTGTATTTTTAGTAGAGACGGGGTTTCACTGTGTTAGCCAGGATGGTCTCAATCTCCTGACCTCGTGATCCACTCAGCCTCCCAAAGTGCTGGGATTACAGGTGTGAGTCACCACGCCCGGCCTAGTCTGATCTTTTTAACAGAGATACAGAAACTGTGACCAAGCTGTTATCACATAAACTGAATAGCAGAGAAAGCCGGTAAGGAGAGAAAGAATAATAAAAAAGATACACAGAGGAGAGAAAAAAGATGGGGATAAAGAGTGCTTCCAGGGTTCCTCACAATTATTTCCTAGTTCTAATTCCATTCTAAGACCTGTCCATTCTTGCCTTTGGGTTCTAAGATCTATCCCTTAATCCCATCAAGAGTTTTTATTTCCATCCTGAGTTCTTACTAATTCAAATCTACTACTATCTTTATTATTTATTGCATAATCTTTCTAAAGCACAGTTTCTTCTATATCATGTACCCCATGATATGGATCATGGAAGGATATTAAACCTTCAACTGATTATCAGTGTCTCAGCATGAGATATAAGGCCCTCCATGAGTTGATCTCTGACCATCTCTCCAACCACTTCTTCCCTGCCACTGTAAACTCTAGTAATACCAAACTCCTTCTGAGTTCCACGACTGGTCACACCATTTTCCTACTTCCATATTTTCATATATGCAATTCCTCTTTTCTAAAATGCTTTTATTCCCCTGTCTGCCTGATGATTTCTATTTCATCCTCTTAGCCGCTCTAGAAAAAGACTACACTGACCCCATCAGAAGTAACCACTTCTATTCCATTTCTGTTAATGCACATTTTACACTACAATAAATTTATTTATGTCCCTCGGCAACTACATGTCAGTTTCTTGGGCACAATGATTACAACTTACCCTTGTATTTTCTTCGACATATACCAAGTTTTACTTTATTTTTTGTGAGACAGGGTGTCACTATGTTGCCTAGGCTGACCTCAAACTCTTGGGCTCAAATGATCCTCCTGCCTCAACCTTCCAAGTAGCTAGAATTATAGCCACCATGCCCAGCTCCCAAATTTACTTTTTCTCCTTTTTTATTTTCCTCAAAAAATGAAGAGAGAAATTTAAAATAAACACAGAAAATTCAATTGTGTCTGATATGGCACTCTTGACTTAGGGGGTTTTAATCACAGGCTTAATGCCAATGCCACTACCACTGAATACTCTCCGTCAATCACTTAAAAAAAAAAAAAAAGGCAGTTTTATGAATGCCACCAAAGTGTCAATCTAAGTAAGATGTGTACCTCCAACAAAGTCTTTCATAACCTCTTACCTGTGTATTCTGGATAACAGATAGTTAACGGACTCCTCTTTATTTTTTCCTCAAACAGGTCTTTCTTGTTAAGAAAGAGAATGATTGAAGTTTCTGTAAACCATTTGTTATTACAAATGCTGTCAAACAGTTTCATGCTTTCATGCATTCGGTTCTGAAAAAGAAAGAAAGGATGATAGGTCAGTAGCAAATAGTAAAAGTGGATTAACTTAAAGAAAAAGATAAACCAACAAGTTTTGCAGCACTGAATGGCATTAATGGAAATAAGTCAAACACCAATAAGATAAAGTTGAGTGTCAGTCCTCATTTGTGTAATTTTGAGGCGAGAGGAGGTAGGAGGAAGGGCTGGCTAACATCCTTTCCACATACTCAATGTGCCTATAACATCTTTTTTAGAGTA